GGCCCTTGGAAGCCCGCCGGCGGCCCGGAGAACGAGTTTGCCGCGTTGGTAGCGAAGTTCTGCGGTTCCGAGCCGGGCGGCGGTCCCTTCCAGGTCGTGGCGGGGTCCTCCAGGGTGACTGGCAGCGTGATGGGGGGCGCTACGCGGCGGCTAAGGCCTGAAACAGGGCACTAACTGCAAACACTGGTTACACCCCCTTCGACGCATAGGTTATGTGTGCGAGCGGTATTTCTAACCTATATTGGGCAAACTAGTAACGCGTTGGGCTATTAATAAATTAAAAGAAATTTACATCTTGCTTTCCGTTGGCCGGCGCGACCTTGTCTCATGCTGCCAGCGTCACACGGTGTGAATTTTTGAAATTTTTCGCGATTTTCGGGATACCCGACTCATAACTATAACCACTATACTTTTCTCTAACAAACAAACTGATGCAAACCAAACACTCTTAAACTATCCACAGATATCAACAAACGATCACTGCACAACATCTTCAACGAATTCACTTAATTTTTATCTACTTTCATTTAAAACACGTTAATTTTAGAATCACCGAATCTAAATACAACTTCTCAAGAAACACATCAAGTAAACACTGTTCAAGTCAAACCATAGCGCATGTTTGGCTGCCGCCATTGTTGATATGCTATTTATGCAGTTACCTGTCTTGCCGGCCGGCATTTGAAAGTCGCCGCTAAACGTGAATTTACTAGTAAATACACAGAAAAAATGTTACTTTTACAAATAAAATGATTAATTACATCGAGAAAATTCTTGTCACTACGGACTATGTAAAAAAATTTGGAAACAATTTGACAGTTATGACAGTGATTAAGGTCATAAATTTTTAGGTTAGGATGTTTCGTTTTGTATTGCGGTTGAAAAAAATACGTATGTGATGTAAAATGTGTTAATTTGCCGATTGATTGGCGATGTTTACGGTAAGATAACGGATCCGGGAGGCAAGAGACGTATGGGAAGAGTAAACGAACGCAAGCAACAAACGCCCACCTTTGCTGGCTTTGCCGCTGGCCTTTTCTGGTCGGGGAGCAATGGCAACAGGGTCAACTAAATTTCTTCTTAGGCCTTGTGCAAAAATGATCCAAGCCACCAAGTGCTGCCATTTTTACAGCGTGACACGGTTGACGCGAGCTGCGGCCAAGGCGTGCACTGCCGACAGCGCTGCGTTTGACCGACAACACATTCCACCGGTTTCAATTCAAATTCAAAAACACTCAAAAGCAGCACAAACCACTCGCCACCAACTCATCAAACTCGACGAAACTCAGCCAAAGTGCCAAGAAAAAGCGCAATGCAACCGGGGACGGGGACACGTTCAATTTTTTAGGGACGGCTGAATGTGCATCATTTTTTTCGTTTGCAAGTCCTCCATCGCGAACTCAGTCAACGGTAGTTGTCAGTGTCACCCTAAAAATCAATAAAGTTCACCACCCCTCAGCCCTTCCCCACCCTCTGCTCATTCAACAACATCACGACTATCATTACTACACACCGCGTCGGGGCAGCGTTTCGATGACAGAGGCAAGGCGACTTTACCGATCGCGTCAGGACGTCACTGGTCGGTGTCTTCGGTGAGCTTTGCTTTGCTTTGCCACGTCTGAAGTAAGTGGAGCAGAGCAGCCGGTAGCCACTTATCGGCTCGCCATGAATACTACTAGGACGGAGTGCCGCCGCCGCCTCGCTACCACTAGCGTGACTTTACACTGTCGGTTCATCCGCATAAAAACCATCAAGCAGAAAAGTGCGACCGCCGCACATGGGCCGGCTATGAACAATAGAGGGGATGCCTTTGCCTAGGTTTGCCTCCCCGGTGACAATTGACAACTACGCTTCCATGCATTGCACTTTGCCGATCCGCTGCTGCTCGCCTCATCATCATTACCTTTTCTTCGTTCTTTGCTCTGCTTGACTGGGCCACTGCGACCCGACTTTCTCACCGGCGACTGGCGTGCGACACCAGTGGCGTACCTTGGCTCCTAACAGCCCTAACCACGATGACCAAACCTCTTCGACTTTTTAGCACCGTTACAAGCCAATGCGGTCGCGTTTACTGACCAGAACCGAAGCTTCTGTTATTTCCTGCAACTGAACCGCTATTAACACCAACACCAAGTGTTAAAATCTAATTGAAAATCGATAACGGTGCAAATTGTTGTACTTCCACTTGTTAGATCATAATAAACATGAAAAAGTCGGTTCAACTAAAGGATGAACTGAGACAAACATTGAAGTCAGCACTTCTTTGAACGTCATAGGTTCCTAGTTTTCAATAAACAGTTGAAGAATCTATAAAATACATAATTTTTATAACATTTTTCAAATGTTTCCACTTCTATTTCCTTGTTTCATTTGAATTGAGATGTTCCTACTTCCTATCTTTATGATATGAATAATATGAAAATTTTCCCTTTTTTCCTAACTGTAAAGTCTGTTTTTTTTAATGGAAATGCCAAACAGTCTTAACGTTGGCACCACTAGTAAATTCATTCATGGTAATTTTAATAAAGGAAATTGGCAATTCCGGTTTTTTGAATTAATTTGAAAACAATGTCATTAAACGTCTACACAAAAAATCGTCTAAGAAAATTTAGAGACGAAACACCAAAAAAGAAACAAATTCGGAACCGCTAACAGTTTTTCGAAATTTGGAAACAAGTCGTTCGCAAGCAGGAATTTAGAAAAAGGGCCCGTTAAAATGTAGACGCAATTTGTAATGCAGGTTTTCTAAACATTCTCAATTTTTAACAAGAAATTGACAAAAATACAAAATAAACATGAATGAGTAAGAACCTCGGAAAGAACGCAATTAAATTAGTGTCTTGTGCATCGTTTTTGAGGAACGAGTTGAAAAAGTAACAATTTTGAAACTAAAGCTGAAGAAAAATTTCTAAATTGGAGCAGCTTTGAGCTCATTTCAATAAAATACACAAAATTGTACTTGTATCTTTTGCTAAATAACAGGCACACAAGATTCATAAAAGTCAAAATTTTGACAACATCTCAATTTGAACACAACCATAATTTTCTAACAAAATTTCTAGGTACAAAAACAAAGAGCAAACAAAATTTGTGGCAATGGAGACCAATTTTTTCACCAAAATTTTTAGGTATACTAATGTGATTCAACAATTACATTAATACATAATTATTTACTTATTTGAAGTAATAATGAGTCTATTATTACAAAAATTAGAGCTATTTCACGGGCAATTTTAATAAACTTTGAAACAAAAAATCGGACACATTCTTATTCATAGGAACCCTCTATCCCTAATAATTGATGTTGACTTTATTTTTTTCTTTCAATTTATACACCATCAATCTATGACAATAAAATATTGTTAAAAAAGTCCAGAATATAAAATTTGTGTTGGGTTCAAAATACTTTTTTATGTCCAATTTCATCGTCTGCGATAAAAATTTTTGTTGAAGTTGTTAAATCCGACGGTCATAAAAAATCTCTACTTGATCGATCGCTTTATAAGTGTTGGGATTATGAATGGGCCAGGGTAACAAACCAGAAACTATTAAAGTCCTTTTATGTTTTTATAAAAAGTAAAAAAATGTGACCGCTGCAAATAACTTTACGTAAGATTTAGGTAATTGGGGAATACAACAACTGGCAGTCCTGATAAATCCGCCTGGTGTTATCTTTATTTTCACATTTCCAATGTGATAGTTGCCGTGCAAAATAAACTCAAGCAATGCGTAGTAATTGTATCTAGAAAAAAAGTAGTATACATGTAACCTCAGTCGGGTTCAAGGTCGTCAAAAGTGCCAGAAGCTATTTTAATTACGTGACCTTGCATCTAAACTCGAAGATGCTCTCCTGTTCTCCATGTATCTACCTCCTACCGTCCAATTCGCTTCTATTTCAACACATCAGGTGGGTGTTTTTACTTGATTATTTTTTTTACTTTAGTTATTGCGTATGAGACGAGTATGGAGTCGTCGACAGGTTCCTTGTCGCATATACACATACATCATTCAAGGTTTACTACAGTAAGTCAGGTTACCCTCCAATCTACCTGCGGACCTTGAGACAAACTAAATTTATTACACGATTCTTCTTTATCACATAGATGTATCCTGTGAAGAATCTCAACTTCCCGCCATTTTCACTGATGCGTGCTGTTTACTGATATTTTATATTCACCGGCTTTGTCGGTCTTTAATCTTTAAAATTATTCTAAGTTTCTGAAGTCATTTGACCCCAGTCGAGTGGTTTTGTTGAATCTTGTTGACTAAAATGTTTTTAACAAAAATACTTCTAAATTTATAACCACTTAACATCATCTGCCTCAAATATGCTCATTATATCGTTTAACATTAATTGTTATAATCCAGATAAATTTAGATCCTGTAGTGATTCCCTACTTCCATAGTAATAATTTCAGTTCTACAAGTGTATGAGGGGTAGCTCTTTTAGTTTACTTGACTTGTTACCTTTTTATGATAACTTGTGTAATCTATTTTTTTACTATTTCTATTTCCTTAAAATGTTGATTAAATAATACACAAAATCTTGCTTTTTCTGCTTACACCAATCAAGTTATCCAAAGGACCGTTAGTTTTTTGCTTTCTTCTAAAAGTAGGAGCTGCTATATACAGTTTGAAACTATTTATATATATTTAATTGTTATATAAAAGCAGTATAATAATTATTAACAAAATATACAAAGAAAACAGAATCCTCCATTTTTGAATTTGAATATTTAGGGAAATATTTAGTTATATTTCATTTTTCATATTGGTCTATCAGCGCTACCAACTACTTTGATATGTAAATAAAAATGTGAGGTTAAGCCGTCAAGTAAAAAATATTTTCACCTTATAAAAATCATAGACCATGAAATCTAAAAAAGAAAAGAACAAAATAGGCAAATTGATTGAAAAATCTGATTCCGATAATGAAGAAAACATCCACGAATTGTCTTATTATGTGAACGATCGGGTGAAGTTGATGAAAGAGGTTTTAAAGATAATAAAGCCTAAGAAAATCAAGAGTATGGCCCCGGAATGCATACGAGTAAGTACTGAAAATTATTTTGGTCTCATAATCGAGATTAAGTAGGATTTAGATATAGAAGAGCTTAATTCAATGCTTCTTGAAGAGCTATTAGGAATCTCTAACAAAAGACTAAAATACATTTTTAATGGTCAAAATCTTGATGAGGATAGTAGTTCTACAGATCCTGAGGAAGAAAAACAACCAATAGATATAATCTCACTTGATGATGTGAGTGATGATGATTTTGTAATTGAAGTGGATTCAGGTGTGTTATTGTTTGGTAAAGTCGTAAATATTTCTTAATAGTGTTTATGCAGATAAGGCTAAAAGAAAAAAACATGCAAAAGTCAAAGAAGAATCTAAAGGTAAAAAAATTAAGAAGGAAAAACATGAGAAGAAAACTAATAAACTCAAAGAAGCACCTTTACAAGAAGAAAACTTAATGAGTGTTTTAGAACTTCTTGAATTACAGGCGAGGGCAAGGGCAATCAGGTCTCAGCTTATGTTAGAAGCAAGTAGGAAAAATTCACAACAAGCAGGAGTTGAAGTTGAGGAGCACAAAGATTCAGATAATGATGATGTCATAATAGAAATTCCTAAAAATGAAGAAATTATCATAACTTCTAGTGATTCTGAGACAGAGGAACAAAAAGGTGACAACTCTAAAACATATGAAAATTTAAATTCAGAAAAAAATCCAACAGAATCTGAAACCAAGAAAAAGAAAATTAAATTAATTAGAGATAGATGTGACAAACAGAAATCGCCGGAACCATCACAAGATAAGGTAGAACAAGTAGAAAGTAGTGAACCAAAAGAAGCAAATAATGTGGAAGATACTAATCAAAGTAGCAATTTACAAGATGATAAAGTTGAGGAAAATGATAAAAGCAAAGAAATAAAAGATGGGGATAAAAATGATTCACAACATCTAGATTGTACAAATGACGATGATGAGATAATCCTAATTGTAGATGAGGAAGAAATGGATGGAATAATAAACGACTAGTTACAAAAAGTTTTTCTTTTTACTTTATTCAAAATATAAAATAAGACCAAAGTTCCAATCATAGTATTCAATAATCTAGGCACAAACTTCTCTTTTTACAATCTTGAAAGTTTACTCTGAATGCCCCTCAACATGTTGATTAGTTCTTCGGTGTTAGCTTTGCTATACAAAATTGATAAAAGACTGGCTACTGTATCCTGACATTGTGAAATAACTTTTCGCCTACAACAGTCCTGTTAAACATCCAATAAAAAACAACTTGAAACTTACTTTTGTACGCTGTTGTAAGCTTCATGATTGTTGAGGAATGTTTCAATAAGTGCAGCCGCAGCTTCAAATAAATGAAACTCGTTCTCTTCCTTTTGCCAAATTTGTATCTCAGATATGGATGAGATAAGCCTGTAAATTCTCTTAATATATTTTTTTCGTTCTTTGTTATGATTGTTACCTGTTGTAAATTTCAAGAAGATTTTCAAGTGGAAATTCCATCGCAACAAAAGCTTTAGGTACCAGTGACCGATCAGCTTTCAAATAAGTTGATAATTGTTCTAGTTCAGAAACAAGAAATGCTGAAAAACAATGATTTTTCGACGAAAACAAAAATAGTTGTTTTACCTGTAGGAAAACATTGGGTTGAGGTCCCACTTTGACGTGCAACATGTTTGACTTTAGCCAAAATTTGAGCCATTCTATTATTTGGATTACCGGTACTTTTCCTGATTTCCCTCCTCAAGATATTACGCCAAATTTTCTCAATTAAATTCTCGTCTGTATACCCGGCACAGTCGATAATGGCAAGTTGACATTCCCACAACTCAAGCGGATCAGCGAAATTTTCATACAGCTGTAACATTTATGAAACCACAAATATACTCAATTATAACCACGTTTTCACTCAGAAAATAACTCTCTAAGCTAAAATTATGAACAAAAGTCCCGTCAACCAATTTTTACCCCGGAGACACGACACCGAATCGGTTACTTACTTGTGAAATCTGATATAATCCAGAATTTAAAGCTCTAATTGCATCTTCAGCTGCAGGATGGGACTCCCTTAAACCAATCACGGCGTCCAAAATTTGCTCTTGAACTTTAGCAACTTCCATTTTATCCTCAAGATCACGCAAGAAGACCCCCAAATAAGGAGCATAGCCCACCTTGTCGCTTCTCATACACATTATGGCACGTGTTAAATATTCAAGACGTTCTTTCAAGTTCAATGAATTCCTATTAAAAGAAAAAATAATTAGATGCAATTACACGAACGATTTTGTTTTTACCCTGTTTTTGACGCAAGACTATCCAGAATTTTTGCTGCAGCCGCATGATTGTTATTATTTTCGTAATATTTCCACAATAAGTCGACAACAGCAACATTTTCGGGGTTTTGTTGCGAAGTGTGAAGTAAATAAGTTTCCAGAGACGCGTTATTGACTTTAATCAATTCGCTGCTCATTTGTTTCTTCATCATCCAGTCATACAAAGCTACGTGTAAAATTTCATCTGGGTATTCCAGGATATCGTTAATTAATTGATTGACCAACAAGCGAGCGTCACTTTCCAGAGGCATTCCTGATGGGGCACTAATGCTCAAATTTGGAGTGTTTTCGTTGCACAGTGTATCCAACATATTGAAGACTTCTTTATAAATATTTAACCTGAATCGTACAAATGTATTATGGAAAATTAAGTTATGAGAGTTTACCTTTTGTGATAAAAATCTCGGCCTTCTTGATCGGCAACGGACGAATCGTTTTTGTAAAAATGTTGCGCTATATTATCCGGATCGATCTTTTTGGCACAAGTAATACATAAATCAATGACGGCATGATAGGCTTTAAGTGTCACAAATTGTTTACAAATCCCCGGTAAATTAATATTTGGAGCGATAGACTTGCACAACTCAAGTGCATTCATGACCATTTCTTCCTTTTCGTCAACATTCTGTATACTTCTTGACGATTTCAGCATTTCGTTAGCTTTTGAAAATGCCGCATCTTCAATTTTGTATAAATGTGGACAAACTTCTCTCAATTTACTACTAATAGAATCGACTGAAGCATTATCACCCAAATAACTATCAACCAAAGTAGTGATCAACAATGAACAAATGTCTTGTCCATACAAGAACAAGTCTTTAAAAGTGGTATCTTGAAGGATAGTTTGATGATTAGCTGGTAAAGATCCGATCAAGACGTGGAATTGATGTTCGCATAGAATCCTCCAAAGCCCCATTACTTGGCAGCAATGACAAACAAACAATTTGAGAGAGTTTAATGATAAACGCTCCTCAACTTGTGCATCTTGAATTGTGTGATTCAAGCGATTCGTCGCACTGAATTTTGAAATGTTTAGAGTCGTGTCTAAATGTTGGCTCGAGTTCTCGCAAACTGCTAATTGAGTGTTTGTTAGTAGAAAATTATGTAAAGTAGTTAGATAGTTTAAAATCCAGCGACAGTGGTCACTAGTAATTGTGCTGGCATTCTAAAATTAGCAAAATTAATTACGACCAATTATAATTTAAAGTAAACAAACCAAGACATTTTTGCCGTCTAAACATAACTTTTCTATGCATTTGCGATTCCAGATCGGTCGTAAAATTCTGCCCAAGTACAAGTAAAGGCCGTTATGTTTCGCCGAAAATATAAACGGGTTGTTGACATCAAAAGTAGGGTGATATGTGAAACTGGAGGCTTGGGGAGGACTTGATTGTTGGAAATGGTGAGGGGCCGGAGTTGAAACCACATTTGGTGAAAACGGCGAAGCTCCTGTATCTGATTTTAAGTATAAATAAAATCAGTTTTTCAATGTAATGGTAAACTTACATAAATTCGTCTGATTCATCGTCCCCAGGGCCCCCAGTTTGGGCTCTCCCCCATACAAGAAAAACGTTCTAGTTGCATATTCGGCTAATTCTAGATTTTCATCAACATCCAACGATGCGATTATTAAACTTGTAGCACAAGCCTGGTCCTCTTTTTGTATCATGAAAAAAGCTCTAACATTGTCATTATCTAAACCCTGACTTTCCTCAAGTAACTGTCTTAGAATATCAACAGGACGCATTTTTGAAAAAATATAAACTCCTTGTGATGTTAGCACGACATATTTTTTCGGTGGTTCTGAGTGTTGTCGCACTACTAAAGGTATCCCTTCTTGAGTAATATCCGCAAGGGGGCTTTCTTGATGAACCTAAGAAATTTTTATTTTAGTATTTTATAACAATTAAATAAATAATACCTCAGCTAGAGCCAACGCTGGTCCGTCTAAACTTATTGTTGTGTAAGCTTCCATCAAATTTTGGCTGAAGGGAAACAGATCTGAGCTAATACACCAAAGCACATCTTTTTCGTTGACTGTTGATAAAAGAAGTAGATTTCTGTCACTATGATGTGCAATGTGTACAGCTCTAGGCCTTATTGTAATATTCGCCGAATATCCCGGAGGTAAACGTACATGTAACAAATACAAAGTGTAGGGTCTTTGGTTTTGAGGAGTGTTAACAAGGGTATGTGTGGTCAAGTAAAACCGTACTCCAGTTTGAGTAACTGCGACTAAATAAATCTGATGCGATTCTGACGCTTCCACAGCAGAAATACTGACAATTGGTCGGAAGTTTTGACTATCCAAAGTCCTAAAAACTCGTTACTAAAATCTAATCGAGCGTATTTTCAAAACTTACTTTACAATATTTACAGCTTGATTAACAAGAGTCGATTGGGCTATTTTTGTTATTCTACTGAAGGAATCACCCTTTATACCCAAGTCATAAGCCTCAATAGAACCTTTTTCAGTCAAGACATATAAAACATGTCTACTGTTATCAACAGATATTTGAACAATACCATCTTCTTCACTTAACGCATTCAAAAACGAAGGAACAAGAAAAGATAGAGCACTAGTTGAATGATTAATTTTTTTACACCTTTTTCCAAACCACCCACTTTCGGCCTAAAATAAAATAATCATTTTTTTCTAGTTACTAATACTAGCTAATTACTTGGTAAACAATTTCAAAAAGACATCCTTCTTTGCTCCCCAAAAAGAGTCGACCTAAAGCAGTGCCAGTAATGGCAGAAATTGTTGAGCCATCAGTTGGTACAGTAAAAACAGGGTCAGGTATTAACTGAATTTCATCAAAAGGCCCATTAAGACCCGCAGTGAACGTGACTCCCAAAACCACAATATCAACTGCAGTCGTCAATACAAGTAAATGTTTGATAAACGCGTGAAAAACGCCAGGTTTTGGCTTAACTAAACCAACACTTAAAATAGTTTCATTTAAACCGTCAAAATACGCCAAATCTGTGTTATCTTCATATGACCAGACATAAAAATCGCTGTCGACTGTTAACCAAGCTCGTTTAATTTCCGGAAATAGCCCCATCATGCAATGGCATTGTATGTCTATGTAAAATTAAGGAAATTTTGGTTCACTTTTAATGAAAAAATAATGTTGTAAAAGGATACGATTAAAATGTTCCAAAATTTCTGGTGGCAGTGGTACTTTATTGGCAGTTTTGATTTGTATCATGTTATTTAAAGCGTGAGGAGCCCCGCTAAGGACGGGGTAGTCGTGGTCTGTTAAACCACTGGCAGTTGCAGTTTGTGGAGGGTGTATATTCATTAAATCTAGTAAAGTTGGAGTAGCACTGTCAATAGCAAGAGATTTATCGACATTTCGAGCTGCTACTTCCATTTTTTGAATTGGAAATTGAGTGTTATCCATTTTGCCGCTTATTCTAACCTACAAATACAAACTAAACATCGTTTTTTGCAAAAACATTGAAAATGGCAAAAGATATACTCACATATAAAAATTTGGTTTACTCCTAACAAATAACAGTATTAAAATTTATAACATTACTTCGTTATCTAGTATTTTTTTAACATTTATTAATGAAAAATACTACAATGACAGTTGAAAACACAAGTCGGAGGCAAACTTGTTTGTCATGCCAACCTAGTATAAGCAATTCCACTAAAATAAAAATTTTGAAAATTTAGTTGGTGGCAGCGTTAGTAAAATCTTTGTGTTTTCCCGGTTTTTGTATAATTATGAAATCTTACAACAAAAAAAAGCAATAATTTGAACATACAAACTGATATTTCTATTATTTCAATAACACTAATACACTGGCGGACACGGAATTTTGGACGGTTTGTCATTCGACTGATATAAAAATGTAAAACGGGCCTTAGGCAACTAACCACTTTCGGTTTTTGTAATTTTTATCCTGAGAGCGAAAGAAAAAATGACAACAAAATAAATAATTTATTGATCTTATATAAAAACACGTATTGCTGGTATTATTGTTTCGACAAATCGACGCTAAAAATAAATTTCAACTAAAACTTTCAAATTTTAGTTTCAAATGTCAATCATAATGACAATAAAACGTGGCTTACATTGACATTTTTTGAACTGTCATAAATTTGATGTCCAAAATCCCGTGTCCGCCAGTGTACTATACTTTCTAACTAAGTAACAGAATGGAATTTTTGGCACCATTCAGCTGGAGAAAGAAAATTGAAAACATCATCGCACTACCTAACATCTAAAAACGAAATAACAATTTACTTTTGCAAAACAAATGCATTTTTACCGTAAAAAAGTTGGACCACTTTAGAGGAAACATTTCAAACACTGTAAATTGTGTGTTGCTGAAATTTAATTGATGCGAAATTGTAATCACCTTAAATATGTGTTACTGAAGTAGGTAATGAACAAAGAAATGATGTGTTACCAAATTTTTGTGAATTGCAGAATTACTTTTAATGGAATGGAGAATAATATTAAAGTGGTTTGCCTGAAACAAAATTTTAAATTTGAAGTTTTACCACAGTTACACTTAACTTCTGTAGCTACTAAGTTAAATCCATAAGTGATTGTAATAGTTTTCATAAATGTTACAAGTGTCCAAAAAAGCATTATATGCATTTCTATTTTGGAGCGAAATATACCATTAAAGGTCTCATCATCTGCACTTAGATAATAAATTATAAAAATTACAAGACAGTAAAATATTATAAAATCAATGGCAATAAAAATTACAAAAATTTTATTGACCAGTTTTGCCACCGCTATTAACATATGATATAATTTGGAACACTCTTCTGTTCCTTTTAGTAAATTCACTTTTCTTGAGTCTTTATATCTCTCTATTGTTAATCCGTCATATGCCAAAACGATAATAGATTTTAAGTATGTATTTAATAATTTAAATCGTTTACTAATATCTATTAATAACATAGCATTTAGTGAGAAAACTATAGTTGGAGTAAATAAACTTAAAATTGAAAATAATATACAAAAATTATGTTTCTTATAGTTTCTAAAGTAATGACCAAATTGAATGTAAAGGATAACTGTCAAGAATGTCATACTCATCCCAAAAATTATTTTTTCAATAATCGAAATTTTCTTGCGATTTTCTACTACTCTTCTCTCAATAATTTTATTAAAATTGTTAAATATTACACTCATTTTTCTATAGTTTCTTTCATAAAAAATTGATATCAAGTAAGTCCCAAGACACATCGATATATCGTTCCCAGTTCTCAGGATACTGGAAATGGTTGCTGATAAGTAGTTAAATCTAAATTTACTACAATTATAAAAAAATTGCATCCAACATATAAAAATAATTCCGCATAAGCACAACACTTGTTTCAAAATTAACAAAATTCGACTAAGTTTCTTTTGTGACCCAAAAGTGGAATTGAAAGATAATGGGACGATTCCCAAAATTTTAGCAACTAATATTATGAATTCTAAAAGTTTGCTGAACTGGCTACGTTTCATGCTTGAAACAATTTATTATGAAAAATAATATAAATAACTTCATCATGCTAATGCCGACTCAAATATTAATGTAAAAGGTGTCATAAATTATGCATCATGTCTTTTAATCTTTTCCAATTTACATTACTATCAATGTTATTAAATATTTTTTATGAAATCTTTAAAATATGGTCGTTAAATTGTATTAAGATAATTAAATAGTTAGTAGTGGCACACAAAATCTAAAAAACACGTTAAAACAACAATATTACATATTAAATAGTCAGACCCCAAAAATAACGCTCCATTCGGTTGGAAACAAACCCAGAATTGTAAAATGAATTCGGTTAAATATCATTTGGTGTGAACATAATTCAACCTACAACTAAAAATTAATACGAGTAACAACCACTTTTTACATAATTATACCCAAACACGAATGTTTGAATTTGTAGTGTTTATTTTCATAGTATGCACAATTTCGATTATTTTTTTCGACTAAAAATTAACAGAAATTAATAATGATAAAACTGTTATTAAATTGTACCTCTTTTGCGACTTCACTCAATGTATAAACAGTACCCCATAGTTGAAAAAAGAGAAATAAAGCTCTAAATATTAGAGCATTGTATATGAAAAACAATTTATTATATGTTGTAAATATGTTTTCTCCAGTGAAAAAGTAAAAAAAGATTGAAATAAAGAAATAGAAAGACACTCCAAAAATTGTTAAAATTTGGACCTCAAAATATCGGTTTAGAGAATCTGCAGCTTGACACAAGTCAAGATGAATTTCACTGATTTTTACAAGCTCGCGATAAATTAGACTAACATTAGTCCAAGATTTTTTTATTATATTTGTTAAATACTTATTCAAAATGATTAATCTTCTCCATATTTCTAACATCAAAAGCATGATGAAACACACTGTTGTAGTAATTACGACGTTGCAAATATGATATTGAAAACTGCATTTACGATTAAAACCATGTGATTCATAAATTAAAAGAAATGTACTTGTACTAACTAAAAGTATTGTACTCGCAAAATATACAAAGTACACCTTAGTTTTACTTTTTATGGGTTTCATATTCTTTGCATTCAGTATTTCATCGACTTTTAATAGAATTTTTATCGAGTTATAAAGTTTGTGTCGAAAGAAAGTATTAAAGCCATAAGTTAGAGAAATTATTAAAACTGAACCATATCTTTGCAATATTGTTGTAATTTTTGCTAAGGGTGTAGAGTATTTTCTGGGACAGTCTCGCAACCCTTGAATAGATATTAAAGTAGATATTATACCAAAAGTAATGCAATACACTATCCTTTTTTTCGGAAATATTTGATCGCTTGATTTCAATTTCAAAATTGCCTCAAAAGAACAGGATAGTAGTCCTAATATTTTTAATACTGTTGTAATGTATTTTAAAGAATTTAATTCAAGGTCTGGCTGAGCCATAGCTCGAATGATAAGCTATTTAGCTCATTTTGTTAATTTATGGGAGTGTATGCTGTCAACAATTATTAATTTGAAAATTGGAAGTGAAATAAATTAGTCTTATTGTAAACATGTTTGTTGATGTGTAATAATAATATTTTATATTTTAATTTGATTTTTTGTGTTTTTCATTACTATTAGCTGACCCAAATATATGACCTTATAATACACAAATAAGTAACAAACAAATAACTTAAGCATTCCTCCATATACATTTGTATTAAAAAGTGTAAGCGGTTATTGATCGATTACCAAAAATGTGGCAAAGTTTAACTGTGTCAGACGTTGCCGTTCAGGTTTTAAAAATCTGGCACTATTGCGGTCTTGCCACTTTTGTATTAGAAAATGGCTTTTTCAAATACAAAAATACTAACCATTTTATAATTAGTTTGCTATTTTTGTTAAGTGGCATTACATTATATTTTGGAATGTTTGGAATTCTTCATAATATTCACAGCTATGTGATATTAATTCATTTGCTTTGTACCTATGTGCCAAATTTCGTTTTAATTTGGTTCTCACATATCAGACAGAAAAAAATCAATTATATACTGAATGAAATATTAAATCTTGAAAAACACTTGGTAAAATTAAGTGGATTCACACTTTCATTTATTTCGGTTGGCAAATCTTTATTGCAGTGTCTTTTGGTTCAAGTCGTTCTGATTTTGGCGGTTGTAGCGACATTTTTTTTAATCGTGAGATCTAAAGTATTTTTTGTGGTTTATGTTGTGACCTATTATGGATCAATCATATTTGGTTTTAATTTAGAACTTTTCCTATTATTTTATTTGTTGTGTCTTAGAAAATTATGCACGCATTTTAATGTTGCTATCGAGGATAGAATTAATGACAAATCGTTCAAAAGTTGTTTTAAAAAAATTTGTTTCATTTACATGTCTATATGTAAATTATCGAAAAACGTAAACAAATATTTTCAAGGGATTATTTTGTTTAAAATTGGTAGTGATTTTATAACTGCAGTTACAACTTTTTACTTGACTATATATTCGTTTAAAATTAAATCTATTGCTGGTGGTATGTTATTGTTGAGTGCGCCTGGTCTTAGTGTGACTGCAATATTTATATTTCCATTTATTATCGCTTATTTAGTAGAAGATTTATGGAAACAAGTAATAAGTACCATTTGAGCGGTTTTACACTTCTTTCATGATATTTTTTTAGGAAAAACTTATGAAAAGGCTAATCGACAATTTACTAACATTAAAAAAAGGACATTTATCTCACAAATCAGTATTTTGTATATTATTTTTTAATAAAATTATTAGCTTTATATTTCAGTTGGAATTATTCTATCTACAAACAAGACAGAACAAGATCACATTCAATGTTTGTGGAATGTTTTCATTAAATTGTACTTTCATATACATAGTAAGTACAATTTTAGAAAAAAAACATTATAACAAATATTTTTTTTAGATAATTTCCACCATAGCAAATTACCTAATTTATATAATACAGTTCCATCAGATTAATCGACCTACCTCTTTGAGTAATTAGAATAACATTAACCCAATTATGTAATTAACTAATTTATTAGTTTATATTTTATATATTTTCCTGGAACTTTTGTAGCCGGAATAAATACCTATTTTTGATTAGAATGTATTGCATTTTCAAATGTGGAATTTTAAGAATATTTCAGACATTGCGAATGTTATATTCACAATTTGCAAATTCAGTGGTTTACCTGTTCTTAAAATAGAAAATTCGAACGTAGGCAACCGAAAAATAGTCAACAAAAACTCGTACTTTTTCTTGTTTATTTTGTTGTTGCTGGGTATACATTGTGGACTTTTTATGAAATATATTGGACTTCCAAACAGTTTTGAGGATTACGTAGGTTTTGTTCAAATCACAGTCTTGAATATACAAAATATCGTTTCAATATTGCATTTCCACCAAAAACGAAAAAGCCTGGAGTTTGTTTTTTCTAAGATTTTATTTCTGGAAAAGAGAATATTTTACTTTTCTAACAAAAAATTTCGTTGTGACACGGTCGCAAAATTTTTAATTATTTATAAAGTAGTACAATACGGAGTGATTCTGTCTGTTTTTGTCATTAGCTGTTTTTTAACAAAAAATAAAATCGAGGGGACTGTATTTAATTTGTGTTATTTTATGGGAATCTTTCTTACTTTTAATTTTGAAACTTTTCTCTTTTTCTTTCTACTAATACTGAATCAATTTTATGTTCAATTTAATCGTAGTTTAACACGAAATATAAGTTATTATCAAGTTATGAAGATCTATTATCTTCTGAGAGAAATAATAAACGATGTCATTAAGTTACTCCAAATACAGCTTTTATTAAAGGTTTTGTCAGATTTTGTTATAACCATCTCCACTTTATTTCATGTTTTGCTAAATATTTTTAATCATTCGGTACTTATTGGAAATACGTTTATATGGTTAGGTCTCATTTTGCCTTGGTTAACAGTTATTTTAACATCCAATTTTTTGATGGCTTTTTATTTTGGAAATATGGAGGAACAGGTTTTATTGAAAAATATAAATTTCAATTAGAATAAACATTTTGTTTTAGGAAAATATAATGACAGATATTTTGACGAAAGCAAATACCATACCAACTTACAAGCGTGTAATATTTTACATTTTTTATGTCACATATAGGTAATTACATAATTACAGGTTAATCTGCTTGTTTTACGATTAGAAATAAAACCAATACGTTTTACTATCTACGAATTGTTTCCTCTAAATTTCAGTTTCATATACACGGTAAGTTTTCTCTTATTTTGTAATTTCTCATTACAATATATTTTTAGATGATTGTTGGGATGACCACATATTTAATTTATTTGGTTCAATTCTCACAGATGAAATAAATTGGGTAAATTTTGAATTCAGGTATTTTTGCTTTCTGCAATCTTTTATAAATTAAGTTTGCTTTTATTTTTATTAGCAAAAAACTTTTTGTATGTATATTTTATTGTTAAATTGAAAGATAATTTTAAAAAGAATATTGATAAAGCAAGTGCATTTTTTGTATTAGATGTATTAGATTAACATTGTATTGCTATTAAATTGAATTACGTAAATAAATAAAGTTACAGTAGTTGATATTACCTAAAAATATAATATCTTAAAAGATATTATAAAATTCATTCATATGTACCTACGTACAGAAAATAGGAAAGTGAAATCAGCTGCAAATGTGCCACAAACAGAAAACATTACATCACGGATTTGAAATCTCAGGCGAATAAGTACATTCTACAAAAAATGTATTATTAGTAAGCATCTTAATAATATAAGTTTCTCGTTTACCTTTTTGTAACACTTATTTTCCTCAAAATTGTTTTCAATTTTGTTGACAGTATCTTGTATCTGCAAAATTTAGAAAACACTAAAATTCTTTGCTTCAGTAAATACTTACTTTTTTGTAAAAATCTTGCGAAATAAATAATTAAAGAAGCCATTTCAGTAATTCCCATAACAAGCCACACCGTAGTTAAAAACAAAGATCGGTAATCTGTTTGTTCAGTTTGGTGAAAAAAATAAAATGACAGACCAGTGGTTAAAGAAATACAAACTTTAGTAGCGTTTAAAATTAGTGGTAAATTATGTATGTTATTTATTAATTTACATAAATCTAATAATGTTACAATGTGTTTTAAAAGTGCATCATTTTTTATCAATGCAATGAATATAAAACGATTTTCCAGTTCTGTTACAAGAAAGACAAATACTAATTTCACTGCAAGATTTACAAAGTAAGTCATGTAGGAAGTAGTAACGTAAAATAATATTTTCAAAGACACATACCCACAAATAAAGCAAACAATATCGGTACTGAAGGATATAATTAAGACGATAGCGCAAAATAGTTTAAATTGATAGAATTTCAAATTGTGTGAACTTTTATATTTAACTTCAAGATCAAAACTATAAATTGCTTGAAAAATATTAATATTTGCAGCTCTATATAAATAAAAAATTATAAAGGAGACGACGAACGATATTGAGTTTTCTAATAGACCAACAAATGTTAAAGTTAAAGCTTGAGAGCGTAAGAACATCACATGATAAACTAATACTCCAGTTTGCAAAACTGTTATAAGTAAGATAACAATTCTATTTATTAAAGTGTCTGTCCTTGTTATATGAAAATTTCTTCTTTCTCGATCAAACGATATCATAAAAAGGCCCATATATTTTGTTATTTTGTAAATAGGATTAAAAGAGGAATAGATATCGTTATTGACAATTTTTGGCATTTTTTAAATTTACTTTTACTCATACATTTAGCCATGCTTTTATAAGAGTTGTATTGATCGACTATTTCGTAAATATTAATGTTTGTTATTCAAATACTGCCATCAATGTTATTGTAGTACCATTCATTAATTAATTGACTATTAGATAAATTATTTTGTTATAAAAAATAATTATTTGTTGTGTAAACAATTTGTAAATAAAATATTTTACGGAAAAATAAACGAATGTGTTCCAATTCTTATTTCATACCTAAATTACTGTTTCAATTAATAAAATTTATCCACCATTTACTTTAAAAAGGAATACCCAATAGTGGGCGTTTGTTAAGACAGACTTTAATGGAATTAGAGACAAAATACTTGTTAGGGTTAGTTTCTTCAAACATGTTTTGGCAGCCAGGAGATCTTTGTGAACTAGCTTTACCTATACTAAAAATTTTGAAATATACTGGATTTTTGTGTTATGAATTACATGGAAAACTTAATTCACCCGATCGCAAATTAGTTTTTAAGTCGTCGTATTTTACTTTATTGATTGCTTGTCTTATATTGAGTAATTTAATAGTATATATTTATTATTTTGATATAACTAAAAACCTAAAAAGTTGTATAATATTTTTCCAAATGATTAGTATCACCGTCCAGAATTTAGGAATGATCTATACATCTTATCGAAAGAAAAGTAAAATTGGTGTTTTGTTTGGT